GAGCATAGATAGTGTAGCGTCATGATCATCCATCCTCCCCAACTCGTCCCATCAATTCCCGATTTGATGAACTCAGGCAGAGGTGGATGATGATGCCAAGACTCATGATGATGTCGCTGAGTGGAGTCGGGCAAGTTGCACGACTTCTGGCGATGTGAACCTAGTAGGAAATGGCGGGTAAATGATGTCATTACGGGTCATATGGATCGTCAGGGTCGTTGCGCACGGACTATGTGATGTCATGTTGCACGACCCCTACTGCACCATCGAGGACCCTGAATTTCCACCCCTGTTGATTCGCCCGACTGTCCTGTATCCCTGATTCACTCCTCATGCTCGGGGATGGTGCACGCTATTGTCGATAATTGGGTAGACCATTAGCTTCCTCGGAGGTCGGCGCATTCTTCTGCCAGCTGGACCAGTGTAAAGCCGCCGCGAAGCAGACACCATCCGAGCTGTGTGTCTTGGCCTGAAAACGTAGCGCATTCAGACATTATGCCCCCGGCGTCGGTGCTTGCCTGGGAATTCAACATCCGGATGACAGACTCGGTAGTGTCGCGTGAGCGCATCGGCACGACTAAACGTCTTCTCCTCGGTGCAAAGATTGCAGCGCACCTTTTGCTTCCGCGCATTGTGAATGGTATCCTCGTGACGAGTCAAGTCGTACGGGCGTGAAAAGATTGTGTGGCACGGTTTGCCCGTACTAGGATTGATACGATCGCAGCGGTGAGGTCCGGCTTGACTATTGAGGATGCTGTCGGGGGATGCGGCAACTGCTTCAGGTCTTCTGGGCCCTCCGATACCCTGAGTCTGCCGATGCCCCTCACGCTTATGCTTTTGCAGCAGAGCAGGGGTTTCGAATCGCATGGTGCAGCCGTGGTATGTACAAGTGTAAGTACCGCCATCAGCAGTAGCACCTACAGGTTTGGTTGTCGGTACCGCATTTGAAGTCGAAGTAGCATCGGATCCCCCAGTGCTTGACTCGGCAGAGCTAAGCCGAGGAATCTGCTCATGAGATTGTCGTGGATGAGCAATGAACGGGTACTGCTGTGGAATGTGGACAGCGGTCTGAAGCTGAGCGGGCATATAAGGGAAGGCTGCCCCATTTTGTATGGCAGACCTCGCAAAATTGACCTGTTGGTCCTGCGTGACCACTGCCTTTGCAATGTCTTCAAAATCCACCGTCTCCTGAGATGGAAAGAGTGAAAATGATGATTCGGCATCGCCATCGTGGAATTCGAGCATCGCGTCTTTTGGAGAGATAGTTTTCGGGGTTTCCGGCTCCGACTTTACAGACATTTGTTGTCGCATAATTTGTGCATCTTGCTCCGCCTTCTTCTGTTCCCGGATTTGGTGGGCCGAGTTGAATCGTAGACGAGAGGCCTGAACACCTCCACCAAAGTCGTGACTGGGCATCGGTGCCAACGGTGAACCCTGACGGAATGGCGAACGGTCGCGTGACACACTAGAGACTGGCGACTGTGCTGCACTCAAGTGCTGGTTGTTTGCAGCGCTAAGTCGTTGCGCAAACACGTCATTGCTAGGAGATACAGCCATGTGGTTTTGAGCCGGAGCTGCCGAGGTAATGGTGAAATTGGGGCTATACAGTTCATCATTATAGATGTCTGTCATCGTGCGGTCTAGCTTGGGTACGTTGCTGAAGACTGTGTCGAAAACATTGAGTAAGCTTCTATTCCCAGACATTTGCATGGAAAATTGCTTACCAGCTTTCCGCCGCCTGTCATCTTCGTGCTCGAGTTGTGACGGTGTTGCGGGTGAGTCTCCAGCAATGGAGCTTGCCACAGAGTTTGGGTGAGATCTGCTACCAGCCATAGAGAGTTCAGGCGCAGGTAATAACCCGCGGTCAGATCGTGGTCGTTGAACACTCAAGGCTGAGGCGTAGCCGGCCATGTCTGACGATAAGTTCTGCAGTCCGTTGTAGTTGGGATACATGTTGTCGTGGGACACCGCCATTGACTTGTTGGACAACTGGTAGAAGGCATTACCGTCGTGAGCCTGCATATCGTACAGAACGTCGGGTGTTGAATCTGTTACCGCGATTTGGGGATTCGTTGTACTGTGACTGAAGGGTGATGCGGGACCGGCTGAACCGAGCGAAGACAAAGATGACTCCCGCTGATGAGGTAGTCGACCACCGGTCTTGGGAGCGTACTGATTCCCGAGTACCCAGGCGTCTGACTGCATGAGGTTTTGCTGATGGTTGTGGTTCAAAGCAGATTCTTCGAAGCCTGAAGTGCTTGTCGCTGATCGTCTTGGGACGGTCAGATGAGGCGTGTCGTAACTTGCAAGGCTTGCCGAGTTGTTTGCCAGAGAGTAATGGGAAGGGAGAAAGGATTGAGTCGAGAGCGGAGACGAGGATATACTCGACGAGGTGAGGTCGGGAGCAGTGTCGTCAAAGGAGCCTTCAAGGTCAAAATCGATCGAGTGAGGGTAGAAATGTTGTGATTGTGTCTGATACTGGTGGTGTAGGTCGGAGTAATGTTGTTGGAGTTGTTGTTGCTGATGTTGCTGGATTGATTGTGAAGCAGTGGGTCGGGTCAACAGCATGATGTGGTAGTTAAGAAGTTTAGATATTTTGTAGGTGTGATGGTAGGAGGGGCCAAGTGAGTGGCAAACCACGGAGGGACGATGACTTATAAAGATGGAAAGACTAAAGAGAGGCAGCGGGTTGGTAGCACTACGTAGGGGACTTGCAATGCAATGAGGTAGCTGGCCAGGTACGTACATCAGAGGGCTATGGGGCTTAGAATGGAAGGGCCAGGGTGTGCGGTAAGGTAGCGCGCTGTGGGTACGTACTGCTCCTCGCAACGCGGACGAAGAGCGGAGGTACCGGGTGGAGGACCCGAGGCTTGGACAAGTTGTGCTGGCGGTCCCGGGGATGGGATCAGTGTGGTAAGTAGAGCAGGGTTACAGGGGGGCCTTGGGATCGGGACCGGGGAGAACACCTTAAGGTCTGGACGCAGGAAGGGGAGGGCCCGAAGGGGGGGAGAGACAGGGAGAAAATTTTCAGGTGTGTGGGATGATGACCAAGTCGAACAAGAACATGCGGTATGAGTCCTTGCATTTTTTTCGTCCTCGATTCCATTCGCTAGAAGGTCGAGGAACCTCATGACCAACAACGGCCCAACCGGGGGTTTTGAGTTTTTGTCACTATTAAGCAGCCCAGCGAGCAAGCACTTGCTTGAATAATGCACTTGCAATGTGACACGCATAAGGCAAGCAAAAAGCGCGAGAAAGGCTCACTTGGTACTGCCCTCGAATCTAGGCAAGGCGCATATTCGTAATTCATTTCCTTTCCCCCAAGTCGACATTCGTACCTACTAGCTCACATTTCCCTATCTTGGCCTTTCGATGCACATCGTGTGAGCAACGCACGGAGTAGTAAAAGGCAGCAAAGGAAGTGCGCCGAGGTCTATAACCCAATTATGCGGAGACAACGCAGAAAGAACCAGCGGGACGTCGCTGAATTGGCCGCAGGCAGACGGAATAGCACGCTCCCAACAACGGACTACTAAACAGCTGACGCGGATAAAAATTGAGTCACATGATGGAAAGACAGATCGAGAACAGCCATGGCCCAGTGTGATTCGCACGCAGTAAGGCGGAGCAAGTTACAGTAGGTAGATACGCAGAAAGCGGGTGTGGGCAATAGACCACCAATTTGCAATGCAGCGTGAGGCAGCGTAAGGTAGGTACGGCAGTGCAATGGAAATGACGAGGGGCCTTGCTCGAAGCCTCTGGAAGTTTCTTGGGTTTAGGGATCATTGTCATTCACCCAACAAGTATAGGTATTGTCCGCAGCACCGCAGACGACTGATTTCGCCAGCTTGGACCCCTCAACTTAACCAATGATGAGTAAGCATACTCCGGAACAAGACAAACATTGGTCGTGGCACTCACGCACTGTGGGTTGAGCGAGACGGACAAGGCGGGAAGATGCGAGGCGGGAGATAGCACGGAAGTAATCCGAGGAGACAGACGTTGCTCTCATTGGATTCCACCCCTTTGCAGGCTCGCAGACAGGACACTCAAGGCAAGGCAGGGTGTTCGGCTAGGCTTGCGCTTGATGCTGCGCTGAGCGGGTGGTTGCACTCAAAGGGTCATGAGAAACAGCGATCAAGACGTAGGTGGACTCCATTCCGGCGACGGAACGACATCGATAATCCCGTCGAGGGCTGGTGGAGTGACGTAGGGCGAAGGGTTGGGACCACTGAGGTCTCAAAGCTCGCCGACATGGCAAGGTAGTGTGGGTACGGATACATACCTTAGTAAGAACCGGTATCTAATCACCTAGGTATCGTATCGGAGAGGCTCACCTACGTACGGAGTGCCTTACCTCACAGTTTCATAGGTACTTACGCAGTGGCAGTATTACACCTTAGTCGATACCTGGTCGTCGATTCCCGTGGTGCAGAACCTACTGTGTCACTATGAGGAGAGTGGGAGGGATCGATGGGGTGCCCGGTAGGCCCACCCGATGACATGCTGGAACGCACACACTTTGTAGGTATGCACACCTTTACCACGTTACAACTATGTATTACATATCCCAGAGTCCCTCGATGATGGCACACGGGTGCATCTTATTCCTGGACCAACACGGGCCATCCGTCACCGTGCTTGCAGGCTTTATCTCTCACAGGCGATTGATCGTCAGAGACCATTTCTTCGTTCAAGGTGGCCGACACAAGGTGGGGAGAATTGAGATAAGAATCTCCAGTTCCAAGCTCCTTTCGCAAGTATGCATATCCGGACGGAGTATATACCTTTCCTAGTACCATAATTTGTAGGTACCTACCTAGGCACCTACCTGATGTAGATATACCCAGACCTGGTTGCGATAACCTGACCTCTACACAGTATGTGATCAAGCACTGACACTAATAACATGCTATGGCAATGACCATTATCCGAGGTTTTGGCCTGCAAGCGATGGATGTCATCCAAGAACCCACAGCAGAATCCGTACCGAAGCTCCTTCACTGCGTGACTGCGCAGTTTCCGGCCGTGCCAGCCCACCCTGGAGGGCAAACGCCGATGGTCAAGGGTGGGCGGACCGGTTCAGGGAAGAGTGAGGGGGGACGAAGATCGCTTCCATGCTCGCTGCACCGGTCGCTTCTACCATGCCGTGGCCCCACGAAGGCTGCATGTTTTGAAGGGTCCTCTCGGGCTGGATCATGGTTGTTCATGTGGGTGTGATGGGAGTGTTTGGTGGGCGCGGTCAGACAGGGAACAAGGGTTCGAGGCCAAAATGCCATGACCTCAGTCTGTGCCGGTTTTGACAAAAAAAAAATGATGCAGGCACCCGAAAGGGAGGGTGAGGGGGAAGGGGAAAAAAGTTTCTTGGAATTTCTCTTCGGGGAAGCCTCGGAGGACGGAGAGAAAATGTCGCTTGTGCCCCGCGGTCCAAAGGGGAGAACCCCGCGAAGCGAGGGCCCGCGAGACGAGAGAGCAGAAGAAACAAAAGAGCGAGACCGCTGGTGCGGATGCTTCCATCCGACAGGTGCGCTGCATTCATTGGCCAAAGGCATCGTGCTCAGCCACACTGCCACACCGTCGGTTCAGCGCTCAACTATCCAGTCTTGTTCAAGCCGAGAGAAGCCACCCAATCACGCAATGTGTCAACGTGTCAATTCACTTGCCCGTAGGAACTGGCGCTTTCTAATTATGCAGTGCGCCTCCTCTCTGGCCTCGGCCTCGTGGTTGTCGTCTGCAGGTACAGGCCATCGATAAACGAAGCGAAGATTCTATATCTGGGTAGAACGAATGCCCGATCGCCCCCCCCCCCCCTGTCATCGCCATCTCCCATTCGTGCACCTCCAGCGCACTCCAATGCGGCAGTGCTCTATGAGAAATCTGGGGAGATAAGCAAGTCAGTTAGGGTAAGGACACCATACAGGTATGTTTTGGTCTACACTGCATACATCGTTGAAAATGTGCAACAATAACGGACATCTTTCGCATCGGCATGTTGACTAAAATCCTCTGTCGATGACAAACGATCGTAACGTTTCATGTTCAGTAACGACTACTTGTTTCTCATCGGAACGACGTACCTTATAGATGATGTCATATCCCGTGATCTCACAATGGCCCTTACCTTTGTAATCAGAGAACAAGCTGGTCAGGCTGATGAACCCAACAACTAACGTTCCTATCATATGCTGGTGGCTGGTGCCGGGCTCCCTTTTGTAACCTTGCTCATGGCACATTGGCATGTATCGGTTTTGGCTAAAGTAAGCATACTATCCAAACCTTGCCTAACCGATCCATCTGGTTGAGGTTTGACTGAGTCTGAGTGTGAGAACCACTTAGAGTTAACAGCCAACGTCATAGTATAGGTACAGCAACGGAAGACAGGCACCCGCTGGACAAAAAAATGCGCACACCTTGAACCGAGCACTAACAATATACTTACACTAGTAGTATTATGGTAGCTTAATTATGCTACATATTCAGAGCAAAACCATAGAAAGAAAAATAACTCAAAAGTGTCTCGTCTTCTGCTGATTGTTGTGGGTTTTTTTATATAATTTTATGTCTTCTATAAGCGCTGTTAGATTCTTGGTTGTGTGCGTTTTTCCGTCCGGCGGGTGACAGGATCTTGCTGCACGTGCTCAATTGTCCTCCGTCGTCCAATCACCTTACTTTAGGTACCTTACTACGTTACGGCTATGCATCACTGCAAGTCCGCAAGACTTTTGTTCAGGTAATTTGTTTCCTCGCAACACATCTCATAAAACAGCTCGAATGCGCCGGCACTGCTAGGAGCCCTGTCTGTCCACGATCAATAACTTTGAACAGCATGGTCATCTGCCATTAGCCTTCGGTATTCGTAACAGTCCGACGTATCCACCAGTTATTCTGCATAGCAATAGTGGTGTGATGGGACATTGGCAGCACGCCGCAACTTGCAAGCTGAGATGTGGCCGGGCAGTGCTGGTTGCTACGCATTCTTGACGACCACGTTCGGTCATCATTCCGGACCACTATATCCGTATACCTCCCTATAATGTACACCCCCGCGTCCTCGGATAGGCGTGTTTGCTCTGAACTTGTGACTCGTGCTCTCGTCTCAGTGATGTGGCTCAACCACGAGAAAGACAGGCCACCCATGGCCGGTGGTCGCCAAAGAGCATTATAGTGCATAGGTACCGAGGCATGTTCCAGCCACACATGCCGATCTTCAATGTGGCTTGCCCACCTGCACGTCGGGCCGAGCGGATTTCCTCGCATAACCACTGTGGCCATGTCCGCCCTTCTCACTCAGAGTGCCAAACTGCCAGGGGATGCGAGAATGCGGGAATGCGCTCGCATTGTCAAGCTTGAACCGGGGCGCTGGACTGGGTCCTTGCCCGCCGCGCGCAGCGTCGAAGAGACGGGGCTATGAATGCCACGAATCAGTCATGCTGGCAATGCCAGCTGACGGATGAGTCTGCTCGATGACTCCTCCCAGCAGCCGCAGCCGTAGCCGCGCCAGCTCTAGGCGTAATGGATTTCGATTCTTAGCTGCCGAGGAAGTGACTTGGACGAGACCCTCTTCACTACGCCTCGTAACACGCTGCTACAGACTCTTATTTTTTCCATTGTCACCTGAGGGTTGTGCTCCGGCCTTCGTCGTATTCCTCTCGTATCAAACTTCACATGATACTTCATCGCTCTTAATTGCCAGGTCGCGTCTATTGCAGCTACCACCATGTTCAGCGTCGCCGTAGCAAGAGTGCCCCACCCGGGTCTCTGAAGACCTAGAGCGGTCTCGACCCCGTTCCGTCGGCCGTGGGGTGGGCCTAACTCATCCGTCGGCCGGTCCAGCCGTTGGAACTTTCGGGGGTCTCAATTGCACGAAAACGGCCCTGTGCGTGAGTGTCCAAAAGTTAAAGAATCATGAAGAAATTTGCGTCGCACATCGCGAGGCACGCGGCCTGCAATATTAGTCGCATGCATGCTTATTTGTACCAGCAAACCAACCTCGAGGGCTGGCACTCCCTGTTGTGCCGGGGGGTACGTTCGTGGGGGTTCCATCCCATTGTATGAGCTGAACTTCACGGCATCATCAGAAAAGGAACTCGACTCCTCTCTGCAGTGCTTTGTTAAGATGCGTGCGCGTCCCTCACTGTATTGCCCGGGCCCATCATGTCGAGCATGAGATGAGCGAGCATGGCAAAGTGGCTGATTGATCACTCATAAGTTTCTCTCTATTCTGTACACTCAAAAACAAGATCCTACTGACTCATCCGCAAAGCTGACCAAAGCTTACCACGCCTGGCGGGTGCGCAAGGAATACACCGAATTACGTCCGTCAGGTTCGCAGTAGCATCTTTGAATACAAGTCTACATGTATAGCGTGAGGATTTAGAAGTGTAGAGCAAACCAAGTCTTACGGCAAACGACTAACAACAAGAGAGGAAACTTGGCTGATGCAGGGATTGACAACGATGCCGCGATGGCCGAGAAGCGATGCTGCCGATGCCGAGAGGTGGGAGAGAGACATGACAGGCAGGCAAGCTGGCTGTCGGACCACTTGGTTGGTGCAAATCCAGCGAAAAACAGACAAGAGGAGCCCGTGCAGGCCTGCAGGAAAATGCGGGAAAAGGAAAATTCTCGATCTTTTCTCTTGCATGCAGCCAAGTGCATGGTCCGGCCCAGTCTTCGGCTTCTCCATGTCTTAAGATTTTCTCTGTCATCCAGGGGTATTCAGCCCTCGTTTACCTATCCGTACCTAAGCACGCGGTAGCAAGAAATGATGGCCGCTTTCTATTACGGTAGCGTAGCACAGAAACCGGCCATCATATTTTACCACCGCGTGCTAAGGTAGGTTCCATAGCTTTTGCTTTTGTTTGGTCCCTTTTGCGTTGCTAAAACGCAGAGATTGGCCATTGTCTGTTAGCCATCAATTTGTCAAACGCAACACTGTGGGCGAAATGGCACAATAAAGCTGACCAATCAGCAATGCAGCTGCCCCGAGGTGTGGCTGACGCCGAAACAGCGATCGGCGTTAAGCCACAAACCTGTGCAAAGGCACCGGCACTGGGCACGGAGTATGTAGACCTTACGTGACCACAGCTGAGACGGAACTGCCGCCCCACCACCCGAGACTACCCGCATTCACCCACACTACCTCAGAAGTTGAGAGCCACATGGGAGTGTGGCCATGCTTACAAATGAACCTCTTGTGGGTCTTATCCGCGTGATGTCCGTACTCCGCACCGGTCAACCCAACGCTGCACGCATCGGTGGCTCCGGCACCTAACTTCTAGCTGCCACCTCGAGCCTCCCACCCTCCCAGATCGTACGGAATATCAGGACCACTATTCACGAATACGATGAGGAATCCAACTTCTGTTTCCGCACTTTCTTGCGGCATCCAAGTGCAACCCGCAGCTTGTGTCCGGCTCCGAGGAGACCCCCCTTGCTTGGCCATTAGTACCTGATTGAGACATCACTGCACGGTGCCATCTTTTCTACTCTCATATTTTGCATCGTGACCAACGGCGCAGTCCGGCATATCCGCTGCTGTGTTGCCTACTACATCCCCACTTAACCAGGTCGAGAACTCGGGTAGACTAACTTCACTTTACCTAGAACAAAATCAAACGTGCGAGACGTAGAGCAACGTTTACGTGTGTTCAGCATCCGTTCCTTAGCAGACACACGGATAACAGAGTCCAGGATCCATCCCGACTGCACACTACTCCACTGAGTAATGCCCGGCTGCATGGACCACGAAACATGACTGTGTCGTACCTACATTAAGGAAGTATTGGCATCTAGATAATGACTACGGATACGTCTAGGAATTTTGAGACGTGGGTGCCCAAGCCCAGGGATCCAAATTCAGCACGACGATGCCGAACTCAACACGAGAGTGGGTGAATCGGCAAGCAAAGAAAGGGGAAAATCAGGTCCAGCGTGCATACACAGGCACACAGGTATGCGCGAAACAGGGCAGGTGGCGAAAAGAAGGACATCATTTGGATCCACTGCTGCCCAGAGTGCAAGATCTCTCCGTTGGCGGCGCAGATCCATTCCTTGGCCCAGGCGGCCGGGTTCCGTTCCGTGGAGAAGTTGAGTCAGGGTCCTGTCGGAATTCTAAATTTAGTGGATTCCGTGGCTCCCATCCGCCAGTGACAGCACTCAGGGCTCACCTCCCCTCGGCTTGTGCGCTCGCGGCGCTGCGCTAGTATTCCCCCAACGGTCAAGGAAGACCCTGATTGTCCGCGGGGGGGCTTAGAAGATCTGCAACATGTCAGCCGGCATTTAACCGGGCCCATCAACTTTTGCATCTTGCTTTCCAATGCTTCTCAACTTTTCCATCTTGCGCGGTCGGCACCATCCGAAGTAATGCCTGCACATTCATTACCTTACAGGTGACCTACGTTCCTTACCTTATGTAGGCAAGGCCCAGAAATACGTCCACCTTCGGGCTAGTTTTGCTATGTCGGGCTAACCTGGCTTCCACAGTCCACTTAAGATGACTGTCCATCCTGCCAGTTAGCTCACTTTTGACAACATCACCATTTCTCAAAAATCAACTTGCCTGTGTCGCCATCGAACCCATCCCGGCTCCTCAGATACCACCTCCTTCCCGACCCCCGAATTTCTAATTCCACAACTCGGGCTGCCTCCCCCTCTCGCACTGACCAGGAACATGTTAAGCTTGTGGCTTAGCTTCCGTCTCCCCTTTGCACCACCTTCAGCCACACAAGTGTCCTCGGAAATATTGAGCATATGCCTATTGGTCTGTACCTAGCCAACCAGGTGAAGTCTTACCCTCGCAAGACTAGCAGCCATCACTCCCCTAGCTTTATCAATGTGATCGCCGTAGCTGCTGGCTTCCTCGTCTATATCGCCAGGGTGCCTCGACGTTGCTTAAGTCTGAGCCTCGGTCTCATGATGAGCCGGACTCTCAGTGGCGTCCGTATTGATCCTTACTTCCAGGCAAACCCGATGTCTCTGTAAGAGCGACTTGTTAGCAGGTTGGGTCATCAAACTCGGACACTTCCGTTCTTGCTACGCATAAGCGTGACGACCTCCCTATTGGGCCGCTGCCGCGCACGCTCGTGACTCATCTTTCCCTACTTCAAGCTTAGGTAGTCACGGGCCGTCGTTCTACAACCTCGCCTCGGTGAAAGGGGGATCAGAAAGCGATATCGGGGCCATGTACGGGAGTAAGGTCGATAGTGGAAGTAGCCCCGTTGTGAATTGCCGGGTACGAGTGACGGCGAAACGCCACGATGCCCTTGACTTTGTTTCTTCGTTTTGTAGACTCGGTTTCAGACGGCTTTCAGTTTGCTGATGACTGTGTTCCGCCAGCTGTGCGAGATTCGTCCGGCAAAGTGAGGAACCAATCGGTCCTCTCCAAAAATCTCAAGATGCTACCTATGTCTACCTTCGCTACCATCACGACTGCTGCTCAGCCTAGTCAACCCCCTTGGTATACTCTTATACTGCAAATGTCCCGCGGGACCCCTTGGGGTAAATCAGTCACAAGGATTGAGGTGATGAAGAGAGGACGCCGTTGATGCATGTGCTGAGCGATGGGTGATTGTATCACCCACTCTGCCAAGTATCGTCCATATTCCATCCAAGTGCTAACGTTTCAGTACATCGGCGCGATTTGGGCACATCATTCTCGAACGACTATCCGCGATTCCGGAACGGCCTTGCTTCACGACGTTCACTATGTCAAGGCTCGGCACATCATCAGGCCACGTATCCACCAATACAGTGATGAGCTATTTGGGCGCTTTTGTGTAGTTATTTGTTTTTTGGGGAATACGACATCTAGGAGGCTTTGAACCCGTCCGTGGCGAGTATATGTGATGATAATGGGGGATATCATAGCTAGTGGAGGAAGAGGCCGTCGAGACAGTGATTTGGTCAGACCACCTGTGCAATTCTAAGGTGCGATGTGGTAAGCTGCAAGCTATCCGGGCCCAGTCAGGGCATCGGACGACATTGATAGGGTATATACGATAATTACCTGATCTCAACCCCGATTCTGTGGTGCCTCATTCCTGCGCGATGCTTGTTGATCAGGAAGCGCTCATCTGGCGTGCAGTTGAGGTGAAGCCCGACAAAGTCTTGACAAGGAGGCACCCGATGTGGCCGGCCATCATTCATGCCCGTGCAAGCTACCTAATGGAACATAGTATCATTCCATATCACCTTCACACTGATGACTAGGCTTGCACTGAATCTCCATGTCAAGTCGAGGACATGGGTAGAGAAGCTGAAGTAGGATATTGCAGAAAATCTTGTTCGTCGAGTTACTTCGGCGCAGTAGTATGATCATCTACTGACCTTGCAGTATAATCAAGTCTCTCTCGGCTGTTTATTGCATATGGTACGCTGTGCAGTGAGATCTCATATGCGCCTGTCAATTCCGCAAGTCTGGATATCCCAGTGTCCAGAGCGTATGCTGGTGTAGTTGGCACAAACAACCGACGCCTTGATTCGGCCTATATACGTTGCCGACGGGCCGCACTTGTCTTCGCGCCATTTTTGTCTCTATTCGGATGGAATTCTACGCAGGCTCAGGGCTTCGAGCTATCACGACAGGGTCTTTAGGCTGTGCCATAGGGCACGTCGGTGGTTCAGCGACGACGATGCGCGTGTCCACATCCCGTGGACTACGCACGAACACATCGCGCATTTCTAGCTGCATTTACTCGCAATACTACATGATATACCAAGTGTCTAACCATGGCCGTGCGTTTCATGTTCTGGGTCTTGTGCTAGGTTGGCATCGAGGTATGCTGGTCGTGAACTTTGCATTTTGCCGCAGCGCGTGCTGCTTGCTCGGGGATGATTGCGAGGCTGAGATGACACTGTCCTGCTGTGCTTAGAGACAGTTCGAGCAGGTAGTTCTCTCTCTTGTTGTACTCTCCTGCTCCGTTGGCGACTTTGGGCCTGTGACCCCATTTGGGTGACCAGTTGCTGGAACACTTCTTGAACAACCTTGCAGGTCAAGAGACCGTACCATACGCGCTTGTGGCTCGTATTCTCCCACTCTCAATCATCTCAGCTGCTGTTGAGTTTTTTGCGAGACGCCTACGCTGATTTCCAATTTGGTACCCCCTTGGCCAGCGTGTACTGCATGCGACCCGTTGGTTCGTGGGATACTGATTCGCCCGATGTTTGAAATTGTTACCTTGTATGGAGTAAACTGTGCCTCGAGTAAGAATTTCCTATCAAATTCGATGTGTTTGGTGTGGTGTTGCTGATTAGTCGATTTTATATATGTTTTATAAGGGATATTGGATCTGGCAACAAACAAGTAGTATCGAGAAATAGCAGTCAACTTGTGTTTTCACCACAACACATCCAAAGCCCAATAGAAACGCAAGACGGAAAACATTTCCGAAGCATTTGACACTCCAACGGAGAGACGGTGATAAGTGTAGGTTTGGACGGAAAGAGCCCTGCCGGCCTTAGATGACGCGTTCGGCTTCACCAGCAACTTAGTAGCCTCAGGCCTCAGAACGATCAAGATGGTCAACGGACCACGAAGGAAAGACCCCACGAGAGTAAACGAGGCACCAGAAGCATGAGTTTACATCAAATGATGCCGGCGAAAACACTAGGTAAATGAACTCGATCATATCGGCAATGGCAGATTGTACACCCACCTAGGCACGGAACTTTCCAGGACAGGAGGATTATGATTACCAGGAAGAGACATACATCATTGCGCACGCGCAATGGAAAACACCGGGAGGGGAACAGCAAGTTCTACGATGCTCTAGGTAGATTGCATTATTGGATTGTCCATTATCAACGAATGACTTGAATCTGCCATGCGCAGAACCCACATACCATAGCCCACCCAAGTAAGAACGCTGAAGGTTAGCAGCCTGGCGCCAGCACGGCTTCAGCAGCAGCCTGAACGAATACATTAAAGACCAACACGCAACAAGGACCAGTGCAGACAGTTGCCACCCACATGGGACGCGGCGCGACAGCAGACATACGAGGCTAGGTCACATACCCGAACAGTGGAGAGCAACGTTTAACATCCATAAGAATCAGACGCGGCACACAGCATTCACACGCGAAGATGCAGAAGGGAACCGAGAAAAATTGATCAAAACGTGCCTCGGCGAGGGATTATGTCTCAAGCCAACCAAGCCATCCGTATAGAACCCCGTTTCCCGTATGGTACAGTAGAACACCCAAAACCAGCCAAACCCATGATCATTCGTGACAAAACACTCCACTCCCAAAGTCCGCATGGGCCACCGCGTCGTGGGTTGGATCGCGTCATGGCCCAAGAAAGATTCGTAACAGACATGCAGAAATACGACGCTTAACCACCGAAACCGTACAAGGTGCGGCCTTGGCGCTTCAACGCGTAGACAACATCAAGAGAAGTGACAGTCTTGCGCTTGGCGTGCTCAGTGTAGGTGACAGCATCACGAATGACACCCTCGAGGAAGGACTTGAGGACACCACGGGTCTCCTCGTAGATCACTGAAGGAACGGCATGTTAGTCCCTCGCGAGCCGAGCCGAGCTTGGGGCTAAAACTTACTGGCAGAAATACGCTTGACACCACCACGACGAGCGAGACGACGGATAGCAGGCTTGGTGATACCCTGAATGTTGTCACGCAAAATCTTGCGGTGACGCTTGGCACCGCCCTTGCCGAGGCCCTTGCCGCCCTTGCCGCCTGATCACATCAAGTTAGTATACCGGGGAAGATAGAAGTACGATGCGGGATCGGTACGTACGTCCAGTCATTGTGGATTGTGATGAAGTTGAAGTGATTTAAGGTTGGGATATGACGAGGCTCTTCCGAGGAAATGGCGTGTAAGATTGTTTTGGCAGAGATGACGTGGGGCTGAATAGTAAGAGGGAACACGATTGTAGTCGCGCTGAGGGGGGCGGGCATTTATATCAAATGTCCGTGGGCCAAGTCTGATTCGGGATCAGCCAGAGAAAAGCGGGCACGTCCATCACGCTGGATCACACCCTGTCGCGACGCGAGGCGAAAAATAAAAAAACAACGCCATGAACGTACAACCGCACGGGCCACACTAGCTTTCCTGGTACTTCATCAATCTCAGGCTCTCTCAGCTTATTCCCAATTGGAGCATGAGATGGATATGTACGATTAAATGTAGCCAACCAGAAAGCGTCCCTCGTCTGTCCCGCTCCCTTCCTCCTCCTCCTTCTCTCACCGTTCCTTGCAAGTTGCCACTTTGCTTTTGAAGTTCACCGTGCCAGACCTTAGGCGCGCCGCGTGCCATCAGAACCGTGTTTCTGGCTTCGGTTCCATCTGCAAAGTGCAAACGCCAGCATTTACCCCTCCGGCTGTTCCACCTGAGCGCAAGGGACCGATCATGTCACTGGCAGTCACCTGCGTGGCAGGCAACCACTGCTTCCAACTTCTGTGCTAAAACTACGGACCGTATTGGTCAAAGACAGTAATCTCTCATATTATGTTACCCAAGGTACTGACTGCATCGGTAATTGTTTTTCGCATCAGCCGACACCTACGTAGTAGAAGCATCGAAAAGGGTGTTCCGATTCGAGTCAATTGGCCGACTGACCGGTGACATGACGATAGGTAGACGCTCTCGCCTTCGTCGTGCGCCTGAGTCATCTATGTAGGTCAACACGCGCAAGTTAAATCCTGTGCTGCCTCCAAACTCAAGTTGAGGCGTCGCTTCACCCACTGCCCCATTTACCCATCCACGGGCTCCAGCTTTGGTAGGTAATACACCAGAGTGACCCGGATACCGAGAAATCGTCTTACTGAACCTCCACACTAGTCGCGCAAGGATTCACGATGCCGCGGCTGCGCAGAGACCGCGTCACGCCTAATACTCTGTAGATACCATGCAAGTAGTCCGGGCAGAGATTACTTGGACTGGCTCATGGCCATTCATGTTAATCTGCACGACGGGCGGGTAGATGAATTACATAGACGTACCCCGGAAAACCTTTGTTGATTGTTCTCGTCTTCTATGACAAATAACCTTTGAGATTCACTGGTAGAACGGATGAATTAACCACAGCACTTTTAGTATTAGCCTGTCTCGATGCTCATTCCCTCACGCGCGTTACTTCTCAAGTCCCAACACGTAAAGCGGTCGAGCATTGGAGCGAGTGCTTTTGGTAGCTTTTGCCTAACCCGCATGTAGATAGAAATTTCCGCAGACGGGGAACACTGGGCTGAATCTTGGATAGGCATAGTCTAAAGGGAAAGGTAAGGTACCTATTCCGCATATGCAGGACTTGCCTTCAGTGCCTTGCGTATGACCACAGTGGGCCCCCAAGAGGCGCTAGACGATAGATACGTACTCTTCCCTACCGGGTGTTTGAGAGAAAAAGATGGGGTGGCGTCAGACTTGATGCAAGATTTCCAGCCAATCAAAAATGAGCCAACTATCCGTTTTGACAACAAAGCACAAAAAACCCGCCCAACTGCGCCTGCCTTGCAAAGCAATCGCGCCTACCAAAACGGCATTTTTCCAAAAAAGAACCCACGCCTGCCACGCTCACACCTGGCACTTCCCCTCCACCCGATCAAAACCAGGAAGGTGCGCACAGGCCACCCTCCATTTGGCGCACAATCACTCCCCTCTGCACGCGTTCCGTCTCCCTACCTATTTATTCCCCTCCACCCGTCACCCACTCCTCATCCTTCTCTTCTACATCCACTCACAACACATCCACATCAACCAACAGGTACATCATCACCAACAAACAAACCCATCAACTCCATCATCACACACAACAGCAGCAATGGCCCGCACCAAGCAGAGTAAGTCATTATTGCCTTGCGACATCTTCAGTCAAGTTTTTTTTTACTGACCTATCTCCACAGCCGCCCGTAAGTCCACTGGTGGCAAGGCTCCCCGCAAGCAGCTCGCCTCCAAGGCCGCCCGCAAGAGCGCCCCCTCCACCGGAGGTGTCAAGAAGCCTCACCGCTACAAGCCTGGTACCGTCGCTCTCCGTGAGATTCGTCGCTACCAGAAGTCCACCGAGCTTCTGATCCGCAAGCTCCCCTTCCAGCGTCTGGTAAGTTAAGATTCGCACAACGCGCCTCTCGATTCGCATTGTCTAACACTACCTTCCCAGGTTCGTGAGATCGCCCAGGACTTCAAGTCCGATCTTCGCTTCCAGTCCTCTGCCATTGGCGCTCTTCAGGAGTCCGTCGAGTCTTACCTCGTCTCCCTCTTCGAGGACACCAACCTGTGCGCCATCCACGCCAAGCGTGTCACCATCCAGTCCAAGGACATCCAGCTCGCCCGCCGCCTCCGCGGTGAGCGCAACTAAGCGACTGTCTTTTGATTTTCTCTTTTCACATGGGTGGCTCATGACTCGCGCGTTTGGGAATGCTTGACGAAGGGACCGTCTTGGTTTTGGGGGTAATCTGGCGTTTAACGATGCGTTCTTCAGAATAACGCAAGGGTTGTACATTAAACCAGCAGTAAAGGATGACTGCATGCAATGGCAAACATTATGAACTACTCTACATCACCCCGCGCAGACAACGTGAGCATCCGCTTGAATACCCGCATCATCGCCGCAATTGTCAGCACGCGTATTTTAGCATATAAACCCCGCCATGACGCGATCAAAACGACTCGCGAGACTAGCAACAATAAAACTCGAGGGTGCGACGCGTACAAAGTGGTCAACATACTGGGAGGCGCGTTCTCCCCGCCGCAGTCAACGAAAGCCCTGTTATTATGACGCTGTAGTGTCTCAATAGACAAGAACTCGTTTTTGAAGGTGGACAATAGTAACTAACAATAGCACGTATGCTGGGGATGTTTCTATAAATGCATCCCGTCTTGACTAAGTCCCTGTATATGTTTTCCCTCCCCTCAAGCACCTCTTGTCATTGTTGTCTGCTAGATTGAGTATATATAGCTCTTTTGATCGCGGTCCCGCCTCTGCGACCTTTGTTGAAGCTGCTTGGCGGAGATGTTGCGTAAATGGAAAGGGGGGAAATGCGGTGTACAACGTTGCGAGGAGAGCGGACCGCTCAGGCAGCCATCGTACCGGCAGAGCCTTATTGTTTCCCAAGTCCGATCACGCTTCTCCTAAAAAGTAGGCTGCTCTTGCAGTTCTAGAGCTGCTGGCATGAAGAGGCCGTTGCGTTGCCGGTAGACCATGGCCAGACTTTCTCCGTCCACTGTTCGGGTACGGCCAAGCTGACTCAGATTGCATGTACCACATCGGAGTCATATTTCAGTAAGCAATAGCTTACTTTGCAGTGACTTCAGAGGCGTTCAACGTTGATGGATGAAGGTACAGCTCGCAAAAGAGGTGGGCGAGAAGAACAATTCTCTTAGATCAAATAGTCTGGAACAAATTCTCGATAGGTACGACCAGCCTATTTGTCCAGGGCGAGACTTTGAGTGCACTTGATTGTTAGGTTATTCACAAGTAATGATCACAGCCATATCAACGACGAGTGAAGCTGAGCGAGAACGCCTTAGCTGTCCGATATGACCTACGGGCTCAACAAAACAAAAAGGCAAGTCTCCTTGGTATTCTATTCTTCTGTGACAATCTTTCGTTAATTACTGGCGAGGATCTCTGATTACATGTTTTTCGCAACAGCCCAAAAGTTATCCATCTTGGCTCGGGCCAACGCGTCCCTGGCTTCGGCATCAGATTCGCAGACCTTGCTTCCCCACTTGCGGTAGGCCCTCGTCTTTTCTTCGCCTTCAAACACCAGCTTACACTCATTGTGGGACATGTCCTTCAAATCGCCGCTCTCGTTTTCCGCTACCAGCCATTCGCGAAGCTGTTGTTGGGTCTTCCCCTCTTGCGAATGTGCATTTTCAGTCCAGTTAATCCGCTCAAGCATGAGCTTCTTGTATTTGCGTATGCTGTGCTCGCCGCCTTCAACAATGACAATGTTCATCCTTGGGTGCATGATGCAAATACCCGTGAGAGCATGCTGTTCGGCATTCTTTTGGATCCTGAATCTATTCCGGCCGTTGGCGAGACTGTCAATCTTGAACACCAAGATATGGATGCCTTTCGCAGCGTCCTTTTCTTGGTTCGTAGCAAGTTTGACGTGCTTCTCTTCCTTCGTGAGCTTGCGTTCTTCGTTGGCCTCCAAGTGATTCTGCTGGCGCTCAGCGATCTGCCTGTTGACGAGATTTTCCACAGCCGTAGGATCCTTCACTGCAGAGTCTGCGTAAACACGCATCATGTTGCTCTTCTTGACTTTGGGGGGTGGAGCTGGCACTAGTCCAAGTCTGATCTTTGCTTGCTGCTCCTTGAGTTCGGCCATCCTTCTCTGCCTCCTGGTCTTGGCCATTTCTTTTGGTGTTAGGTACATCGGCTTCAGGGCTGGGGTGTTCTTCTCCTGCGGTGGTTCCAACGCGACGGGGTGTTGTACGTATTCCGTGATGATGGTATCTTCTTTGATCTTCAGTTTGGATTCGTCGTCGATACAGTCGTAAGAGGTCCCGTCGACCAGTCCACCGTCGAACCATTCTATGTCCGGAGGAGGGTCGACGACAAGATTCTTCTCCAACTCCAATTCATCTTCGATGCCGGCTTTCCTCGTTTGCGCCGCGATTCTCTTCTTCATCTCCTCGAGGGCAGCTTGTCGCCGCAGCGCCGCGGCTTGCTGGATGAACTTGCCCTTGGCATGGAAATTTAGCGACCGAGCCTGACGTTGTCTTCCACTTGCGGGCTGTGCTGCCTGCTGGTCGTTGAAATACGGGTTGGATAGCGGCGCATCGCGGCCTCGCCCAGTAGCATCTGGGGCTTTGAACCCAGTCGAGAACTTCGAGTCAGAGTGCAGTCGACTGCCGGATGGCTTTCCATCATTGGGTCTAGCTGGTGCCTTTGCCTGACCGAGACTCTCGAGTACTGGGTGTAATCCGACGTTAAGTCCTCCTTTAGCCTTGGAGACGCCGACTGCTGCAGCGACTCTGGCTTTGAGCGCAGCCATCTTATCGGCGGCCGATTCAGGTTTCGAAACCCGAGAGTTGGGGTCGTGACGAGGCCCAAGGCCTAACGAGTCTGACTGTCGATCCATTATGACCAGGCTGATATGCTGCCACTTTTCTCCACGACTGATCGTATGAACCAGATTATGGGATGCACGTCTTTCCGGAGATACACGTGCTTCGTCGGGCGGATGTCGGGTAAGCCTGGGCGCTCTCTCGTTCTGAGCCGGTCGTCTTCGCAGAGTTCGCTGATTGTGTATCGCGGTCGGAAGGGTAAATCATTCGCAGTGATCCCAAGGCAAAGAGGATGGGCAGTAGAGGTCCGTAAGAGCTTTCGGTAGTGGCCCCGTTGCACGGCTGATGGAGGTTGTGGTTGAGAAATACGGAGTGTCTCTTGAGAGCTGGAGGGAGACGCTCCTACTGTGGGCTCTGGTCAAGAGAGTGGCTACGTGAATATCCAGTTAACACTGTAACCTCGATGTTATCGTAGTGCCCGTTGTGAGGTAAACACAGGCACACAGGCTAATGTGCAGCACGCAGGTACGTAGGTGGTAAACACTAGGTATGCCATGTACCGTACCTTACCTACCTAGCCTAATCGCAACCTGGAAGGTCCCGTTCCTTCAGGTCATTTGAGATGCCTTGCTGCCTTGCGCCGATAGCACAGTGGCAGGCAAAAAAACAGTGCAGGACCCACTAGACAGAGGCGGGTCTCCGTTCTGCCGACCAGCACCGCCCAAAAAAAAAAGTTCCCCTCGGTCTCCCACCGAGGGTTGCTGCTCTGGACCATCCGCCCCGGTTGTATTGCATTTGCGATCGAGCGAGTGCCTCTTTGAAGCGGAAGCTGTATGGAAAATTTGCTTCGGATACCACACCTTCTGCCGTTCCGACCCAGATTGGTGCCAGGCTATTACCTGACGCCTCAACGGCAACATGAACATCTCTCAACCCGTTTCGTCGTCTGTCGAGACGGTCGAATTCACATTCCTCACCGAGGAAGAAATCAGAGCAATCTCGGTCAAGCGCATTGAGAACGACAGCACATTCGACAACCTTCTGAACCCCGTTCCTGGTGGTCTCTATGATCCTGCTCTTGGATCATGGGGCGATGCTCTGTATGAAATGCCCCGAATATCCCTTGTCCTTGGCTCAATTGACTTACACGTCTCTTCACAGCTGTGCAACCTGTAACTTGAACCAGTCTTCATGCCCGGGCCACGCCGGCCACATCGAGCTCCCCGTGCCGGTATACCATCCTGTATTTCTTGACCAGGTTCTCCGTCTTCTGAGGTCGCAATGCGTCTACTGCAAAGGTTTCCGCATGCGCCATCGCGAAATCAATCGATACTCCTGCAAACTTCGATTGCTGCAATATGGCCTCTTGCACGAGGCTCACTTGGTTGATGCTATTGGAGAAGAGCTTAAGGGCCTTGCACTCCCGGGTGTGCCCACGGATTACGAGAGCGAGGCAGAAGAAGAGGGCACCTCCACGGTCGACAACATTATTGGGGCCCGAGAGGCATACGTTCGCCAATCTCTCAAATCACACAGGCTCAATCTGGGCGAGGTCAGGAAGGGCAAGCACGAAGGTGCTATCGAAATGAGGAGAGAGCTCATCAAGGACTTCCTGACACAAATCACCAAGTCCAAACGATGCGACAACTGTGGCGGTATATCGCCTACCTACCGAAAGGACCGCTTTGTCAAGATATTCGAAAAGGCCCTTAGCGAGAAGGATATGGGTCAAATGGCACAGAAAAACCTACACCTCAAGGACTCCATGGCGACAGCAGCTCACCAGCGCAAGTCGAAGCGCGGCAACACCGACACCGACGAAGGTGTTGCCGACGTTGATACAAACTCATCGAGCGAGGAAAACGACGTTGACATGCGTGATGCTCATGACGACGACCTCGAGAAGGAGGAGGCAGAGTCTAGAGTTCATGCCGTCCGTCAAACCCCCGGTCAGCAGCGATACCTTAGTGCAATGGAAGTTCGCGCACGTCTGAGGGAGTTATTCGACAAGGAACAAGACATTATGTCCCTCGTCTACAACTCGAAGCCAGTGACCAAGAAGGCAGCTAAAGTGTCTGCCGACATGTTCTTCATCCGAACCATCCTTGTTCCCCCCAACAAGTTCCGACCCGAAGCTCGAACTGGCGATTCTCAGATTTCTGAGGCCCAGCAGAATTCCCTCTACAAGATGATCATGCGAAACTGCGGTAGCATTGCGAGAATACACCAAAGCGTGGGTGGCACAGACCAGTACGGGAGAGCAAGAGACATCAACGATTTGCACCAAGTATGGACGGAATTGCAAGAGTCTATCAACTCTCTGATCGACAAGAGCAAAAA